AGGCCTAGGCCCTAGGCCCTAGGCCTAGGCCTAGGCCTAGGCCTAGCCGCCTAGGCCTAGGCCTAGGCCTGAGGCCTAGGCCTAGGCCTAGGCCTAGGCCTGGGCCTAGGGCCTAGGCCTAGGCCTAAACCCTAAACCCTAACCCTAAACCCTAAACCCTAAACCCTAAACCCTAAACCCTAAACCCTAAACCCTAAACCCTAAACCCTAAGGCCTAAGCCTAAACCCTAGCCCTAAGCCCTAGGCCTAAAGCCTAAGCCTAAGCCCTAAGCCCTAAACCCTAGCCCTAAACCCTGGGCCTAACCCTAAACCCTAAACCCTAAACCCTAAACCCTAAACCCTAAACCCTAAACCCTAAACCCTAAACCCTAAACCCTAAACCCTAAACCCTAAACCCTAAACCCTACACTCTTAATATTTATTGCACAGCTTATACACAGAATTACGCATTTAATCCTGTCTACCTCACTTATGCATTTTTACGATGACCTCTTGTTTTACATAGAATGAAAGAATTCTCAGGGCGTCTTAAAGCGATTACGTTTTTCCTTGAACGGTAAATTCAAAGGACGTTTGGTTTATTTACAGATCATTGCTTAGGGTCACGTTGTAGATTACAGCATGCGCGTGTGACCGCCGAACGAATTTTAGGAACCGGAGACAGTCTTCGGTATCGAAACAGTGCATTTAGTCCATCTCCACCTGATCCAGTCAGAACTTCAATTACTTGCGTCGGCGTCAGCAGTGACGTATTGTTGATGCCGGCTTAACGCTGCCGAATTGCCATCTACACATTTTTGTTGAAACCTATCCAAGCCAGCTAAGTGTACATGATCTAAGCTAGAGACGAGCACTTCTCTTTTCCCATCTTCTTACCAGAGTCTCCTTGAGACGTCCTGCTGCTTGTTCTTCAAGGACGATACGAAAGACGCTGTGTGAGCGCAAACTCTTGTCGTTCATGGCCGTTCGACCCACAGAAATTTCTGATTGTACGCCTGCAGCCACATCACCATGTCTTCATAATCTTTGATGAAGTCCTCTTTACACACAATGAAGACTCTCCTCTAAAAGTCTTCACGGAGCTTCAAATTCGCGTCTTGTCCGATTGACGATAATTGGTCTGTGACAACTTCGATACATTTATCTACAAAACAGAGTCGTACCACATGATCGCAATTGCCACGCGCTTCAAAAACTGGAAAATGTCCTCGGCTGCCAATTGCAGGTCTTGAACGTATCGTATCATGATCGGGCCCGGACGGCATTCCTCCGTCCCGTGCATCGTGAATGTCTTTCCCTAGCTTGTATGCCCGTATGCCTTGATAGCTCCATTGATGCCTCCAAACTTCGAGTGCACAATGCAACGTCTTGCACGCTGCATAGCATCTTGCGCGTCGCTGCTGACATCAAGAATGTCATCTGACCGAAAAGGTATTTTACGCTCGAAAGCGACGCTCCTGTCTCATTTTCATGAAGGAGTTTGCATTAAAAAAAAAGGCACGCATTAAATTTTGTATACGTCGCGCAATCACTTCTCGCGCTCGATCAAGGGCCGCATGCGGACGCACACAGCAACGTCATGTCTGGTACTGCAGCTGCGTTGTCGGCCGTGCTCAAACGCTGCACGAAAGGTGACTCTTTTACGCTACGCATTTATTGATGCGCCCCCAAAATGGACGACGATTGGAAACTGAGTGAGCTAACGGATAGGTACAGTGTGGCAGTGAGGTATTAGCCGCGGTTGATTTCACGTTTTGCGGAGATAAAACGCCGATTAAAATTTATTGTTGTAGTAAGCTATGATAACTCATCGTTCTATTCGAACGCCGTCTATAATGAAGGTACGTACAACTGCATCAAGTTCGACTCGCAAGAGCATGCTTTTAGAATATGTAAAATAGATCGGAAAGAATAAAGAGAATGCACACATTACAAATCGGAAATGCTTATCTCTATGTTAGTGCTTTGACGACTGGTCTATTGTGACCACTCGCTGCATACAAGAAATCGTGGACACATAAATACGGGCTATCATTTTACGAGAAAAACATGATATATTGGTGTGGTGGAGTGGGGTTCGCTCGTTTTTATGAGGCGTTTCCGACTCTTAACTGGCGCCCAGACAACCGACTAACGAAGTGGGTGCTCCTATTCCGCTTGCACTTGTTTCCTCCTCACCTTGTGTACCCGTCGGTATGGCGGGTTGCAATGTTCTAGGTGGACTTGACTCGATGCTGAACTTGACCGTTTTAGAGATTGTGTCGATCGGGTCGAAATTCCTCACCCGATCGCGTGCTCTTGGTTGGCGCTCTGTTTGAGTCGCCATGATCAGCCTTGGTCGCCTTATGACAAAATGGGGTACTTGAGTAGCAAGCCTTCGGATCTCTTGAGCCGTCTCTCGATCTTGTACTTCAACCGGTAAGGTTGTCTGCATTCTATCTCAGTTGAGGTTTTTGCGAGTTCTTGCACTCCCGGCCAAATAACTCCAGGAGTGATCTTTCTGCCCTTGGAGTCGAAGTTCTCTGACGTCAAGAGGCCAAAACATCCAACTCGGAAGTAAAACGACACGTATGTGTTTAGAAGCAAATTGAACTCTGTTTGATGTGTAACCAATTAAAACCCAAAACTCTAACCACGCCACATCCGTATGTCATGATTGACCGCCACGTGTCTTCTCCATACCGAATGGATCTGCAATCCTTCTATATCACGTGGCTCACCCCAGATCGCGATCCCCTGGTCTTGGCCTTCTGATCGCTGTCCTCTGTATGCAGTATTTTAGTCGCGGTCTTCTATATTTGTATGATCTAGGACCGTTCGGACTAGATGGGGTTGAGCTCGTTGGGTTCCTCCAGCGGTAACAACCAAATAGCTGGCTATCATCCCATGAGCAATTCAGCCAATACCACGTACTTAGCTGAATCGCCTAGGCTTCAAACCCGATCTCGATTGGCTCTACCACAATCGCCCCCTGCACAAAATGGCCGATCCACAACATCCGTCCGGCTTGTGAACGTGTTCCGTCGTCATTTTCCGTTTTGCCGTTACCCTTGGCGTCCATGTCATCCACATCGTCTACGCCCCTTCGTGTCTCGCCCGACGTGCCTTCCGCTAGTGACGCGTTACCATACTTAATGAACTCCACATCGGTATCCGTTGATACATTGCCCGGCAATTCGAGTGACACTAATGTGGGTATGTCTTCAGTGCCATTCTCGCCACCTCTGATGACGATCGGCCACATCGACTCCAGCCTTGCCGGAGCGATTCCATTGCCGACCGCTCGAGTTGAATCGCCGTCGATAGCTGATCAAGCGGCTGCGATCGAGACGCTCGCTGGTCTTTATCAGCGGATCGAGTCTGATCAAGACTGTGTCGATCGCTACGGTGATCTTGAGCAAGCTTTAAGGAGACAGACCCCGTTGATGTGATCGGCTAGAGCAAAAGCTTCGTTCCCATGCTGAGTCGGCCTCTCCGTTTGTGACTATCGTTCAAGTCCGCTAAGATCGTCTTCGCTTGGACCTTGAGATGTGCGCACGGAGGCCGCCTTACTTTGAGAGAAAGTCTACGTGTTACAGTGTCAGGAGCAGAAAACTAACGACTTGAAGTCGAATCTTTTGTAGGCGACTCGATCGCTTCATGCTATACAGGAACGTCACGATCGGGAGTTGGCAGCCTTGCGACAGCACATGGATGCAGGAAATGCCCGAATGCATGCTGCAATCAGCCAAGAAACCGCAAGACTTTGGAAGGTCCAGCCGGAAAAAAAGAAAGACCGATACAAGGCTGGCCTTTCTCAGACCCAGACCAAGGTTGGCCGTCTGCGCGATGCTCTTGCTGCACTGGTGGTAGAGATCAATCAGCGTCGGGACGATCTTGCTGATCTCGAAGTCGACCGCGATCGGTTACGCTCTTTTCTCGACGATGGGGACGATCAAGTGTGTCGGCTCCAGAATAAGATCTCGAATCAAGAGTCAGAGCATGATCTAGCCTTGTGCGATCGGGATGCTCTTCGGGCGAGTATTGCCTCATTCTCTACCAGTATCTGTCTCCCTATCTTCCAATTTTTTCGTGGAGGCCCCATCCCGTTCTGATTCATCATACGTAAAAGGATCAGCGAAGTCCATGGCCACCCGTGGCAAGCGTCCCAGATCTTTCGATCCAGTTATTTCTCCGCCGAACAAAAAGGCCAATACAAGGGCTTTCACTACTCACCGGACCTCCCCGCATTTAATTGTCAAGGCGACATCAAGAACTTCGGCTTCGTCTGTGCCCGATTTCTCCACCACGTCTTCCTTTCCGGGTAGGAATATGAAGGACAGCATTCCCCGTCCTCCCGCCGTTCCAAACGATCCGCGTCAAAGCTAACGCCCCAACCACCCGTTTCGCCCGGGTCTGGTGAACGTTTAGGGGGAAGGTATACTGCGCGTCCCAGCACCTGCTGCGCTCCGCTCGGATTTAAATGAGTCATCAGATGCAGAGTCCCAAGCTTTAGCTGCACTCTCCCGATCCCGTTCTTCTTCCCGGCGTATGGTTCCGCTCAGTAGCCCGCTGGCTTCGACCTCCACTTCGCCCGAATTGATCATTGTGGACACCCCTTGAACTCCATTGTGTTCTCCTGCTTTCCCGATCGCTGCTTCTCCTATGCCCAAAACCGAGATTTTAAAGGTCAGCTTGTTTGGCGAAGCCTCTATCAGTTTGGATGACGCGATCAGTGTTGCACAGAATCCCGAACTCCCGTCAACACGCTGTCTTCTTCAGCCGAGAACGCTGCTCTTCCCCAGATGAAGGTGTCCCGAGATCAATGAACACCTGGGTATAGTTGGCGCTTTCCAAGACCTTCTGTTCAAGTTTCACCTTGGTCTGCGCGCCGGGTGAGCTGGATTAGCGTGTTGGAATTGGATTTGGATTTCATCTATCGCCATCTCGCCAGGCCCAAATATTACCCTTTTCCAGCCTCTCCTGCTGTGTCGAAAGCACCTCCTATGTCTCTGTGGTCTCCCCACTTAATTTATTCGGCGCGGGTTGCCGCGCTTTATCGTCAGGAGCCCTGGAAACTTTGCGCGTGAAGATTGCGCCCATATCTTTCCAGCCCGTTGGGTGGTTCGAGCAGTTGCTGAACTTATACCACTCTTTCGAAGAGCGCTATACCCAGACGTTGAGGGAATCAGCCCATACCTTGCCCATTTCTCCCGCCGCTCGGGTTAAAGATACTGGGCTGGCGTTGTTCTGCGATCAGCGCAAACAGCGGTGATCGCGATCTGGACCTCCTTGGAAAACCGTACTCAAGTTCATACTCCAAGGAATGGTAGAAGACCATTGCGACTTGGACATTCTGCTGGATCCGGTTTTCTTGCACCTACCTCGCTTACATGAGAAGCAGTTCTGGTACCCCGGGTTGGGGACTGGGAAAACTAACATTCCCAACCTGGCTTCCGCTTTGTCGTTGACGAATTCTGCTGAGCCATGGCGTAATTAATACCGGACTTCGATCGCGAATCACCCAGGCATGTCAATCCCTCGCCTATCCGGTAAGTTCTTCGCCCCGTAGTCTATCGAGTTCAACACATTTCTTGTTTCAATTTCATTTCTTCATACTGTCTTTAATTTTGATCTTTCCGGAAATGTCTTCTACTTTAGGCCTCTTGGGTCGCGATCGTGCTTCGATTGCTACACATACTTACAAACATACCTTCCTCCTTCACACACCGCCTCCTGGTGTAACTTTTCCCACCGTACGACCATATGCAACCTCCTTGCAAAGTTACACACCCCATCCACCTCGATATGGCCTAGACTCCTGGCTCTTCTTCGTGCGTTTGCATCACTTCGAACCTATTTCGACTTATCCGATCGCGATCAAATTCTTGCAATAGAGCGCCACAATTTAAGTCCGCCTCATCCACCCGTGATGGATCGCTATTACCTTTCCATTGAACATGAAATTGGCGGTGCACTCGTCCGTAACGCGTCTTTCGACCCGATCGGACGTCCACAATCTTTGTCACCTCGAATTCAACATCATCCAACTCGCCTTACCAGCTATCTTCTGGTAGTAAGGCTTCGTCAAAATCGACCCGATCGGACTCGTCTACCTTCAGTTGACTTTGAGGCTGCTCTGGGAACATCTTCACTGGCTTTAGCTTGGACACATGTACTATCGGGAACAATCTATAAGGTGAGCCTGCAATATCCAAATTTACTGCATGATCTCCGCATTTTTTCATTACTCGAAAGGGTCCGTGCCACATACGGGATAACTTCCGAGCATATACATCCTTCACGCGATCCATATACAACCACGCTTGTGTCCCTTGATCGATCCCTAGCAGATTTCGGTCGTCATTGTGACGATCCGATATGCCCTGGATAGCGACCTTTAACCGATCGTTCACGATTGCTCTTGCCTGTTGATACTGACGCTGTATGTTATATCTCCATCTTCTTGGATCTCGATCGCGAGGTTTGACACTTTCCATTGGTAATGCCGCTTCCAACGTCGATCGGGGGTCCCAGCCATGGATCAGATAAAATGGTTTCTCTCCGCGGACTCGATCTTGTGCGGTATGAACCGCATAGGTTAATCTTTCTGCATATTCATCCTAATCTCTCTGGTTTTCGTCAGCGACATACATCTTAATGAATCGCGTTAGAGTTTGAACCATACGTTCTGCAGTTCCGTTCGCTTGAGGTAGATACGCCCTTGTGGATCGTTGCTTCTGTCCCGCGATTTTGTTAAGAGCTCAAAAAAAGTCAGACATAAATCCTGGCTCGCGGTCATGACGGATGATTTCACTCGCACCAAATCTTCAAAAACACGCTTTCTTCATAGTTCTCTGCAATCTCCTTTGCAGTTCGGGACGAACTCGCTTTTGCGATCGCGTAACCAGAGAACAGATCGACCCACAACAGCAACTCAGTATTCCCCTTAAACGATCGCGGTGAAGATGGGATATGATCCATTGCCAAAATTTGGAATGGGTACGTCGCTTACAAGTTGCCTGGAGATCCACCCCGATCTTGCGGGCGACCTTTGCCGGTTTCACAATCGATACATTCGCCGACATAGCGTTGCAAGCTCCGGTACAATCCTCGCCTTTGAAATTCGATCTAATCCGATGGTATGTACGGCCTACCCCTTGGTGCCCACCCTCTAGACTTGTATGGTAATGGTGTAGGACGTCTTGCTGCAGCAACTTTGGAATTACCAGACAAAATGACTCTCCACGATCTTTGCTCTTTGATGCCACCATGGGGCAGAAAATAGCAGTCCACTTTGGTCGACTTCGTAGTATGGTGAGATCAGTGCGCAAATCTTTGCGTCTCTAGCACTCAGCGTGGCTATATCCTCGACCAGATTTGCCTATAAGTCCGATATCCAACTTTCCTCATTTTGCGCCTGGTTTATACGTTTGATCCGGACTTTTTGTACAGTTTATTCTTGTAAAAATGTCTGGAGGCATCGTCTTCGCGTCGTCGATCGCGTGATCGCTGCTACCTTAACTGGGTGGTTAGTCTGTTTTGGTATCAGTAGTTCATTTAACCGATTTAGGGTCACGAGATCGTTTCGTTCTTGGTCTGATACTGCGACAATTTCTTTGCCCTGACGTAACGCCTTGCTCGCTAGTCGATCAGCACTCTAGTTCCAGTCCCGTTTCACATGTAGCAATTCGTGGTTTGGCCACGATCGGAGTTTCTCCATTGCCTTACGTTTCAAAAGTTGTAGACTTGGTGCTTTACAGTCGATTTCACCTCGCATCTGTCTTATTACCAAGTTCGAGTCACCACAAAAGATCACCCGACCTCTGATCTGATCGGACAGAACGTTAGACCCAGCAACGGCCCACGGCATTCTGCCTCATTTGCCGTCAGATCTTCCGCAAATTCTGTAGTAGCCACCACGATCGTCCATTCAGGCAACTTCCATATTATTGCGCTGTAAGCGCCACCTTGCTTCCTTACCCTAGCCGATCCATCAAAACTGACCACCAGGATATTTTCGTCTACTTCGACTGTGGGTGGTGGTATACTAATGTTTTCCGTAGTTGTTTCCTTGGAGCGATCGCGATCAGCACTTCATCTACATCCTTTCGAGGTGTTATACTTGCAGCCAGCGTACCTAGCACTTCTTCTTCGCCTTTTTTGCACCGTCTGATATCTAACGTCCAGTTCGATAGTAATGCCGCCCATCTCCTAGTCTTCCGTTAAGACCCGACGACTGCAATAGCCACGATAACGTCGAGCATTTCGAAAGCACCATAATCTCCCGCGAACCAACATCGTATAACAAATTTCTTACATTCGGAGGAGGGCTAGTACTTCGTTCTCAACAATTCCATAATTGACTTCGTTGGATTTCAGCGTGCGACTAGAGAAGATGACAGGCCAATACGTGCCGTCATACTCTTGAAGCAATGCGGCTGATACCGCCCACTTACTGGCGTACACCACAATCAACGGTGCTCGATCTGGATCGAAATGTCTTAAGATCGGTGTTTCAGCAATTTTGCCCTTTAGCAAGTTAAATGCCATCACCGCTTCCTTCCATCGACTTCCATTTCCAGAATCTAGATTACCCCCTGTTTTCCGGTCCAAATCGCCCCCTGTTTTTTGGTCCAGATCGTCGCCGGACTCAATTCGCGAATCGTGATCACGATCGGTTTCACTGTTGGATACCATTATCCGAACTTCTCTATCTTGGCTGATCTCGTGGAAATATGCTTCCCGTAGCTCGTAGAGCACGGATGCATATATATCGAAGTCTTCGATAAAACGACTGTGGTAATAAAGACTTCCCAAGAATGATTGCATTGATCGCAGATTTCGAGGGAAGAGAACATTCGCAATTGAGTTTGGATCCTTGGAGTGGGCTTCCAAACCTTTGTGTGAAACTTGGTGGCCTAGATAGTCGACCTTACAGCGCCTCCAGAAACTCTTTGCCACACTGATCGATAGTTCCATCGGTTACACACCCTAGCAATCGTTTCACCTTTTCATACAGGGATGACCAAGATTCAGCAGGCATCAAGATGTCATCGATATAGGACCTTCGACCTATAACTGATGGTCTTGGATCTGTGTCCGGCACTCCGTA